GATTCTCGAGAAACACGAGGAACTTCAAGCTACAGAAGAATTTTACTGACCCCTTTGCTGTCAATGTTTGGGCTAGTTCGTTCTGGTCTGGCACCTGATCATCTTGAAGCTAAGGTCCTCATTCTTTAAATGTTGCAGAAGAATGTTTCTTGCTGTTTAGATTATATAGTTTTTTGCTGCAGAAGGGCCTTTGAATGTGGAGCATGATGTCAATACAGTTAGAAGGAAACAACTAGTTATAAGTGTAAAGTGCTGGACATATTACATAACAGGATATCGACGGAAAATTGCTGAAACTGCCACTCTTTATTCTTTGATTATGTGAAAAGGGTACGTTGAAAGCCATAATACTGCTAAGTTTTGCTCCTTTGCTGGATTTTGTTATTAACTGTAAATTTGAAATGTTTATCATACAACCAGAAAAGGGAAATGTTGACAGGCCTACATTAGCATAGTGTCTACTCCCAGGGGTTATGCTGGAATTTGCACTCTTTGTAATATGAAATCGTTTTTTTTTTTTATTAATGGATATGTTTTAGTTTTTATTTTATGGCTTTTTTTTCCTTTTAGATATTTTTTGGAAAGTCCTGAGAGTGCAGAGAATGCTGGCATGTCTGAGGGATGGCGTTTGCTGTTTAAACAGGAAAGAAAGAACAAATAGTTACACTAAGATGACATAAATTATTAGATGGAAGTTTACCACAGGGTTCATTGTCAATCATTTATAATTAAAAGAAGACGAGAGCTGTAATTTAGCATAGTTGATTTTCTTGTATTTTTTTATTCCATGGAAAATGGTATAGACATAAGTCCTGCTGTATTTCATAATAGGTGACATCAAATGGGTATCCCTGTGAACTAGATGATATGTTTGAATAATGTTTACTCAAACTTGTTGCTCGTGTTTTTGTTCAACTGGGAAATCATATGTTATGGCACGTTCCTGCATGTTCCTGATGAAAGAGAAAAAGTTTTTTGTAATATTATATGAGTATGTTCTTAAACTCTCTTGGAATGGGACTCAAAATATTTCTCTTCTGTTCTCTGTATCTGTTACCGTTTATGACCCCTGCATGTGCCTCTTCTCTTGAAGAACTAATTCTAATATCTGTGTTACATTGAAGATGGAAAGCATATCTTTCTTTGTATTGTAGTTGTAGTTGATACGCAATCATTACTTGATCCATTATCAACATTTGCTTTTTGATTATGAAGACCATGCTCTTAAATGGGGTAGCTAACCTTTCTTTATTCCATATAAAGATGAATCAATATTCTTGGGTTGCGCAAGATCACTGTTGTTCGTTCGTTGAATGTAGCTCTATGGATCTTCGATATCTTTGTCAGAGCTTCGTGATGCCTATGATGTGGCATATTCAAGTAAGTGGCTTGGGTACTTCATACAAACTTCTCTGATTCGTAATCCTTTCCTTGCTGTGTTCTAAACTGTCTATATATATTGCATTTTACTTTTGCATAGGTTGTGCTTGCCTATAATCCTGAAAGTGTCAAGGTTGTTGGAGTACCTGGAGATGAATCCTCATATTTCTGTGCCCTGCTTCATTTTTAAATTGCTTAATCATCTTATTAAAAGCAATATAACCTTGCAGTGCTGGCTCTATTTAATAGTTTTATGATTTTTTTTATCATACTAAGAGGTTTTGTTATTATTTGTTGTCCTCTTTTTTCACTTTCCCGGATCTAAAGGGTATTCATCCAGCATGACAGTTTGTCTGGTGGTACCATGGACACCAGACCATAGCAAGCTAGATCCGGACTTAAAGAGCATGGATATATAGTGGTTCAAGGTCAGGTTAGTTTTCCGATGCACACAGCTACAAATTAGAAAGGTAGAACTGAATATTTTAGCCAGTCGGAATGAATGTCACATTTATAATTGGCTGTGGGGAAAGTAGAATGTCACATTTAGAATTGTAACCTTGGAACTGGATTAAAAAGTGAACGTAGAGAAATTGAGTCACTCATCACCGTGAATGAGAAAGCTCTAAATTTTGCATTTGATAATTGGTTTGCATGTTTTAGGACTTTACATTTTGCTTCTGATTTAAGACCTGTCATGACCATAATATATCAAAACTAAAATTGTGCTTTCTTTGTCAGAATTAATCATTTTTTATTTTGTGCTTGACAAATAATTGGGATCATGTCTAGAATGTTGACCTGTATTCTTCAACTTGAATCGTTGATTTTTGCAAGTAGAAAGCAGGGCAGTTGAGTCACTCATCACTGTGATCGCAAGTTCTAAATTTTACATGGCTATTGGTTTGTATGCTAAAGGACTTTACCCTTTTATTCTTTTGATTCCAGACCTGTCACGACCAAATATATCAAAATTAAATTTTGATTTCCACGTTAGGATTTTTCATTCTTTATTTTTTTGCATGACAAATAATTGGTATCTTGTTTGGAATATTAACTTGTATGAATGTTTGAGCTTGAAGCTAAACCTTTGCAACTTACCCTTTTTTGGATAATCTGTTGTTTTACTTTATTTTATTTTTTTGGCAATTTTTTCATTTTTCATTTTTTCTTAACTCTCTGTACGCCGTGAAACAATTCTGAGCAACGTAGCCCTCGATGTTGCAAAAATTCTTTTGAGATGAACAGCAGAATTAGCATAAATGGATATTGCAAGTCATGTTGTGGCTGCATTAAAAGAGTCTTGTGTAAGGTATGTTTAGACTTTTGCTATTTTTCTATAAGTCTACTTTGATTGCACTTGAACTTGTAAATGTTCATGTAGAAAGGCTTTTATTTTTTTTTTCTAGTGGAAGATGTGGACTGTGCAAGCTGTCGGCACTGCAAAATATTACGAGTAACTTCTTGATAATTTTTGTTGCTGCAGTTGTGAAATGCTATTAAATTGCTAATAAGTATGGTGCATAGCCTCCCATTCGACATTGGAATTTATGTTTTTTGTATATACTAACTTTTATTGAGTTATATCTGAAACAAAACAATCAACTAATACTTCCTTTTAAATGCGTATGTTACACGGAACAACAGCAAGATAACATGTATATTTCTACCTTTGTTAAGGTATGAAAAAGCCTTTTCCCTGTATTTGAATACAAAGAGGCTCTTTCCATGGTGTATTCCAAGGAACATATGATCTGAAATTCTGATGCTGGTGTTTTTCTTTAAAAAAAAATTGCGGAAAACATGATATCTAGTTAGTGCACTTCTTAAATGGGAAATCCCATAGAATATCAGGTAAATTGCTGATGTTTTTTTTTGAGAAAAGGAGGAATCTAGGAAACAGGTTGCAGTTGGTATTGGAGATTTCAAGAACCCATAGTCCGGGTATATATTGATTACTCGCATGCTTGGCTAGTATGTAATATTTCTATAAGAAGTTATATTCCTTATTGAACTTAGTCAAGCGGACAAATTTTCAATTTGAATTTTTGTTCTCTTGCATTCTCTCTTCATGTAAGCTTGTGCAATATATATTTAGATGAATTAAATGATAGTGCTTAACTCTTAAGCTTGCTATATTTGAACCTGGATTTCTCATTTGTTACTGTAGATTCATCACCTTGTACATGACAAAAATCAGGTTCTATCTAATTACTATTTTGCAGTTTAGTGTTGAAGGGGATTAGCTATATATCCGTACCTATAGATGGACCCTTTGATCACGACATGAAGTACTTTTTTCTTTCTGCTAAGTGGTTGTTGTACTATTCCAATTTATGAAAGATGCAATGGTTAGGACAATCTTGAAAATATATGCCTTGTGGCAACCATTTGTTTTTTGCTTTCATACCACCCATCTGCATGCAATGCAACATGGAATGAAATCTCTTGTTTTGTTTTTTTGTTTTGTTTTGTTGGAGGTTATGATGGGTCTTTCCCAGGTGTTATAGTTTTACGATTTCATGGTACTGCAAAGACCTCTGAGATTGAAGATATCTAGAACTTATGCCTTTTGGTTTCGTTCCCCTGGTGTGGTGCCCGATACTGAAGGCCGTGTCGCTATCGATGCTTCAGCAAATGAGGTGCAGTTGGTGAAGGATTTATATGTTTGTGGATGGTTGAAGAGTGTTCTGAAGAGTAATCATTGCCGCCAACCTTGACGCTGCTTAAAAGACATCTGAATGCTTAATTACCTGATTGATTACAAAAATGCCAGCCATAATCTTATTTATGTATTTTATGCAGTACATTCTTGCTTCACTTTTCGTCCAAAATGTAATTTACATAGATAAATAGTATATCTAAAGATATTGAGAAAGGAGTTCTAGTTCCTATATCTATACTTCAACACAAAAATTCGGAAGAGATGGGTTGCTTTAGTTACACCAAGTATGATTATTTTGATGTAGGGGGAAAAAAATGGTAATGAAGAAAACCGGCGAGGATAAAAGGCTGAGGGAAAAGCTTACAACATGGCATGATCTACTAGAGATCGTTTTAAGCGAACATTTTTTTACTCTTTCGTCCCAATGCAATTATATGCTTCTTTTTGCCTGAACAAAAATAAGTTTTACTAGCTTCTTCTATTCAGGGTTTTATTTTTGCACTTGGCTATATAATTTTTTTTTAATCGTATCGATAATATATAAAATGCATATGGACCTTGGGCAATATCCATAGTATCATACAGCTTGTATAAAAGAAAGTAGATTTACACATTTAAACTATGTTAAAATAAATTTTAGCCTTAGCCAGTTGCTCAAATGAATTTGATTTATATTGATTGAGAAAATTTTAAGATTATATGTTATTATAGTTATTGATACTTACTTTTTCACAAATTAATGATGTTTTTTTTCATAAATATATTTTCTTATTGTTCCAATTTTATTCTCCAAGGAACAAGTTTTGATGAATTATTTTTAGGATATTGTGGTATATACATATGTTAGCCTCCGTGCCATCATTCATAAAAAACTTTGAGAAGACAACAAAGAGTAAATGTTTCATTAATGCGATTCTTTTAAAGAATAAATAACAATGAATACATAAAAAATTGGATGCAAACAACTCAAAAGGATGAATAGAAAGTCGTCTACTGGATTTAGTCTTGAAAATTAACTAATGAATCAGAAGAAAGACTTGAAAGTGACGTATGTAAGAAGGAATCATCATAATAAGGACATGGTGGTGGAGGTGGACTGTGATTAGCACAAGGGCAGGGTGGAGGAGTTTGAGGGCTTGGTTGGATTGGAGCATCTGGACTAGGAGGTGAAACAAATGGAACATCCGGACTTGGTATATGTGGTGCGGGGGTAGGTGTGGAAGAATCCGGCAAGAAGGAAGTTGGAGGATGTGTGGGTGTAGGCTTATGAGGTAAAGGACTTGGTGTTGGTGTATCTGGCAAAGCACTTGGTGTTTGTGTAAGTGAAATAGGTGGAGGAGTTGACTTTGGAGGTTTAACAGGAGTTGGTGTTGGTGAATCAGGTGTAGGAATTGGTGTAGGCGGTATCTGAGCTTTCGGCGAATCCGAAATGGGATTTGGTGTAGGAGCTTTAACTGGAGTTGTTGAATGAGGAGGAGTTGGCTTTGGAGGGTTGACAGGGGCTAGTGGAGGAGTAGGGCTTGGTTTTGGAGGCTTTACTGGTGTAAATGGATTTGATATAGGACCTGTATCCGGAGGATTAATAGGTGTAGAATTTGATTTCGGAGGATTGACAGGTGTTAGTGTCGGTGTTAGTGAATCAGGTGTAGGACTTGTTTTAGGAGAGTTGGTAGGTGATGCTGAATGAGGTGTAGGATTTGGTTTGGAAGGCGTTAATGAATCGGGTGTAGGACTTGAATCGGGAGAATTAACTGGTGTAAGGGAATGAGGTGGAGAACTTGGTTTTGAAGGATCGATAGGTGCCGGTGTCTGTGAGTCTGGTGCAGGACTTAGCTTATGAGAGTTAGTAGGTGCTGGTGAATGAGGTGTTAGACTTGGTTTGGAAGGCGTTAATGAATCTGGTGTAGGACTTGAATCGGGAGGATTGACTGGTGTAAGAGAATGAGGTGGAGAACTTGGTTTTGGAGGATCGATATGAGTAGGTGTCTGTGAGACTGGTGTAAGACTTGGTTTATGAGAGTTGGTAGGTGCTGGTGAATGGGGTGTAGGGCTTGGTTTGGAAGGCGTTAATGAATCTGGTGTAGGACTTGAATCGGGAGGATTGACTGGTGTAAGAGAATGAGATAGAAAACTTGGTGTTGGAGGATCGATAGGAGTAGGTGTCTGTGAGTCTGGTGTAGGACTTAGTTTATGAGAGTTGGTAGGTGCTGGTGAATGAGGTGTCGGACTTGGTTTCGAAAGTGTTAACGAATCTGGTGTAGGACTTGGATCGGGAGTATTGACTGGTGTAAGAGAATAAGGTGGAGAACTTGGTTTTAGCAGATCAATAGGAGTCGGTGTTTGTGAGTCTGGTGTAGGACTTGGTTTATGAGAGGTTGTAGGTGCTTGTGAATGAGGTGTAGGACTTGGTTCGGAATGTGTTAATGAATCTGGTGTAGGACTTGAATTGAGAGGATTGACTGGTGTAAGAGAATGAGGTGGAGAACTTGCTTTTGGAGGATCAATAGGTGCCAATGTCTGTGAGGCTGGTGTAGGACTTGGTTTATGAGAGTGAGAATCGATAGGTGCCGGAGAATGAGATGAAGGACTTGGCTTAGGAGGATCAACTGGTGTTGATATTGGCGAATCAGGTTTAGGACTTGATTTAGGAGGTTTTAAGGGTGTCAACAAATGTGGCGTGGGACTTGATGTAATTGGAGCTTCTGAATCAATGGGACTTAGCTTCGGAGGCTTGATAGGTGTTGACGAGTGAGGTGTTGGACTTTGTTTTGGAGACATGATTGGTGTTTGTGGATTTGGCGTCAGACTTGGTTCAAGAGGATTGACATGTGTAAACGAATCAGGTGTAGGACTTGGCGACGGAGGCTTATTTGGTGTGATTGGTGTAAGTGGATTTGGTGTTGGACTTTGTTTGTGAGGATTAGCAGGTGTGGGTGAATCAGGTGTAGGACTTAGTGTGGGAGGCTTAATTGGTGTGATCGATCGAGGACTTGGTTTGGGTGGTTTAACCGGTGTTGGCGCGAGAGGCGAAGGACTTGACATCTCATGGGGTGTGGGATTAGGCGCAGGAGGACTAGGCCTTCTGACCGGAGTAGGTAATACGGGAGGCTCGATAGGTGGTAATGGTGGTGGTGGTGGTGGTGATGGTGTATGAGGGGTAGGATTAGGCTTAATTGGTGTAGGTGGTAGTGGTGGAATTTTCGGAGTTGGTTTGGGTGGTGTATGGATTTTAGCACAACGATTCCTCAACCAGCGAGGAAAAACCAAATGACGAACACTTTGATGCGAGCATGATTGATCATACTCTGTGATCGCAACACAACAAACATCCCTCACATCTTTGTGCTTGATGAGTGCATCATGGATTTCATCAGCGCAACCTTGTAAATCTAAAAGGGCTTGCTTACAATCTGCTAGAATAGACGACTTCCAAATTTCAGGGTCTGAAAATGGATCTGCAGCAATATCATCATCCTGGCCACTTGCCAAGCTAATGCAACAAGAAATTAGAACTAAAAGGACAAACACAAAGAAATTTCTCTCCATTGTCAATTTGCTGGTTTGTTCTCTTTATTCTGGTATGGCTTTTCTACATGCTATCTCTCAAGTTTTGAGGGAATACGTTGGTGTTATTAGAATTGGGTTTTTTTTTATATATAGTTTGTGACATATGAGATAGAAAAAATGAAAGCTGGATTAATTTATGTTTGTTAATGGTCTTTTAATACACATCAGTTATGTTATGCCATTGTTTGGCCATTTACTCTTTATTGCACATGAATTAAGAGAACCTACTTGAATTCAAATTTTTGTTCCAAAACTGAATGAAATTGAAATACATTCTATCTCGTTAGCTAAACAGCCATGAAAATAAGAAAGTAACTTTTGATTGTGTTCATCTAACATTTTTGATGCGCTATTTAAAGGAGTTTTGTAATAATCTGTAAATATTGATCGCTGTTTTTTTTTTCTTTAACATAATTTGAATCAAGAGCGAGGGAGATGGCTAAATGTATGATAACAAAAATAGATTTAATTAGTATAGGATTTTCATAAACTAAATTTAGAGTCCCCTTATTCACATTATGTAGGATTTGAACGCCTTTTAAATCTGTAGCCTCAATGAAAATTTCTCAAAAAGGGGAGAAAAACATCTAGATGACATATTTACTGGCGAAGAACTCTAAAAACATTGCATGTAACGAATTAACTAATCTAGTTTCGTAAGTATTTTCTTTAAGGGTTGTGATTATAATTTTTTGTTATTGAAAGAAATAAAACACACAAAGAGACATTTTTTATGTCAACAGTGACGAAATTGATCAAAAGTCCTGTCACGTGAAAATTCTGAAAAATAAAATAAATAAGTCTCCTTCATCAGTTATTAATATTAGCATGTTTTTGATAATGGATCTGAGGCAATCAAAGACATTATGGTGTTTCATAAAGTAATTTACTCACGCATTTGCACCACTTCATTAACTATCACTCTTAAAGTGTTAAACAACAACTATACTGTATATGGCTAACAAGCTGTTTCAAAATTAATGAACTATTTAACCAGTGAATTAAGATTCATCCAAATTTTTTTTTTTATTTTCTTAAAATCTATATATTATCAACACTTATTACACATATGAAAATAAAAAAACTTCCACCACAGCCCAACACTCAAGATCTGCTTGCATAAATCCTCTGATTAATTGAAGTAATTACTTAAACAAATGATCATCATCAACTGAACACCATGATCAATAATTAATTAACTTGCTAGGAGCTTGATTTGGTGCAATTTGCGGGCTTGTATGGGATGTCTCCATAAGAAACTTTCCCTTGGCCAGAGCACCACCAATGGGGGCGGGGGAGCCAGTTGGGGCCGACGCGGGAGCTTTAAGGTTCCGCCTTGCTTTTCTGGCAACCCTAACACAATGTTCTCCCAACCAATGAGGAAAAACAAAATGAGGAACTCCATGATGGAAGCAAGAACGCTCGAATTCCACAATTGATTTGCAACATATATTTCTCACATGATCTTGATTCTTCCCGACGAAAATCTCGTGGATTCGACCACTACAAGTTTTCAAGTCCACCAGGGCTTTCCGGCATTCTGGTGGCAGCTCTTCCGGCGAGTACTTGAGTTTCGGATGATGAACATCGTTATCGATGCTGTCCAGGCTTTCAGAAAGGGCAATCAAAGAAAGAAGGAAACCAAGAAAGCAAAATAATGTTTTGTTCATTTCTCCCTTTATATTCTGAAAAACCCGCATTTGTGGGGATGAATGAAAGGAACTTGGAAAAAATGATTCAACTGAGCAGAGTCATTATATTATTCCATGAAGTCTACGTATATATAGAACAAAAAATTGGTTTGAAGTTAATGAACAGGTAAAAAGGAGAGAAATATAACTATAAATGAAAGAGACCAAAAATCACCCATGATGGACATATATAAGCAATAGCGTGCATTTTGATTAGAATTTTAAGTACCAGAACAAAACTAAACAAAATCAACCTCTTATTGCACGCATTTGGCGTTGAAAATCTACACAAAATTGGTGGTAAGAGGTTTAGGTGATTCATGAGGTTCATGATCCTATATTAAAATAGTTAATTAAGTACTCATTTTTGTGGCGGTACTTATAAATCTTATATACAAATTTAGAAAATGAAGCTGACTTTAATAGGTCATCATCGTGATAATTTGAACTTGTACTCGTAAAATTACTGTCATAAAAATAACATCAATAATTCATTGTGCAGCCGCCGCTGCAAATCATCGAAGTCGAAGAGAAAAATCCCTCTGAAGTCGTGCAACAGATTGTTGCGCAAACCCTAGTGAATGGTATCGTGAATTTATGTCTGCTCCCCCTTCAACTTTCCATGAAGAAAATCAACTGTCACCGGAAGTCCGGCGGATAGCGCAGCTGTCGCGGCCATCATCTGAGCAACAAACACCCGAGGATCGGGTTGTAGGATCGTGATTTTTGCGCCTATTATGCGGTCTAATATTTGCAGGATCGTGATCCTACGTAGAATCGAAATGGGACCACAGGATCGGATTATAAATGGGATCGGTAGGATCGGAATATTAAGATCGTAATTAATTTTTAAAATCAATTATATATGTTACATACAGTTAAGTGTAAAATTATCTCTTTGTAGACATATTTCAATACAACTATATACACATACTTACCAAATGACTACACAATTATTATGTTACTTTATAATCATATTTTAGTTATCTTCACCTAAAAGAATTTAATATCTAAACAATATAAAAAGGGTAAAGTTAATGTCTAAGTAATATGAATTATGAAGTGTGTAAATTTTAATGTTTTGAAACAAAATTCCTATCTTTTTTAAATGAAAAACCCTTACCATCCAAGACCACACGCCGAAAAAAAGATAACAATAAAAAAAAATTAAATAAATTTGATCCTTTCGGTCAAAGACTCAAGGTCCTCTCAGTTGACCACCACTTTCTTCTCCGGCCGTTTTCCCCAAAAACAGAGGAAACCGTTTTTTTCCCAAAAACAGAGCCAACAAACGCAGCAAGAACATAGCCACGGAAATGGGGAATCTTCGCAATTATGGCCAATTTTTTTGTACCATCATGCTCTCTAAGAATTCAAAATCTTCAAATTTCGCCTTGCTTTTTTTGTCATCTTCTTCTCGTTTTTCACAAATTGAAAAATTGTAGGTAGATCGGAAAGATCGAAGGGACCGTCCGATTCTACGAGTATGGCCAATTTCAACCGATTCTTAACCGATCCCAATACAAATTACGATTCTAATCGATCCAGGATTGATTTAGTGACCTAGGATCGTAGGATCCTGGATCGCGATCTTGCAAACTATAATGCGGTCAAAATAGTCTCAACCGTATATTCCAAATTCAAGTGTGGATAAGTCAATGTCAAACTCCTTATCACAACAATCTTCTGCTTTAAACGTGGAAAAAATATCTTCCTCAAATAACTTTTTTAACAGCCCAGTTAAAAAGTTAAATCCGGATGCTGCGCCCTTCTCCTCTCAGCCACAAATTCCTTCTTTGGAAATTTTACTCCCTATACCAGCCCCAAGCCAATTCTTATCTAAAGATGATACTGAAATAGGGACGAATACTGAGCTTTTTAACCTAAATTATTCGGTTGAAGAAATAAATTCCAAAGGCGTGTTAAATCGTGCTTCCAATGGTTCCGATGATGAAGATTCGATATGATTATGCAATGGAACAAGAATCATTTTATAGTGAAGTATCTGTTCCAACATATCACAATCATTCGAAAAAGCAAAGGCTAAAAAGAAAGTTCAAGTTCGTCGGTCGGTCTGCTAGATTGAACAAGGATTAAATTTTATTTTAAAATCAAAATTATATTTGATATGGAGTTTAGTATATTCGCTGTTCTATTTTTTCTTTCTTTTTAATAAAATGGTTTGTTTTTTTTTTAAAAAAAAAAGACGTAATAAACAAACAAAACAAAAACCAAAAAAAAAGATATACTGGAAGTATAAAATATAATTAACATGAGCCGTGTATAGGTAAACAAGACTAGTGATTCTGCTTTCTGAACTCTGATTTATAGTCAATAATTACAAGGGGTGTGGGAATTAAAATAAATTCTAATGAACAATGAATTGATATTATTTCTTTTTATTATTTATTTCTTTTCTTTCTCTATCTAATCACTAGCTAGTAGAATAATCTTACAAAAGAATTAAAGGAAAAAAGAACAAAAATGCTGGAACATTTTTGGGATGGCTTATAAACACCTCTCTGGCAAATAAACTCCTCTTGTAGTTCCTCCCATGTTGTTACAAAATGATTTTGCCTGGCTATTCAAGTAAGTTATCTTTATATCTTCCATTATGATTCCTCTGCAAGGGTTACTTGGACTACAATAAAACAGCACCGCGAATGGCGTTGATGATGTTCCTTGTATGTTTTGGTATAGAACTTGATTGATCTTCACACCAGAAGCCTGATCAAAATCAAAAGCCATTTCATCAAATTTTGAAAAAAAAAAATTTAAAAATCAAAGTCTCATTCCTTCTCTATAGCATAAGTTTTTTTAAAAACAAAAAAAAATGTTTTTTTTTTTAATTCGGTTTAATTACCTGGCGAGGACATCCTTGATTATTGGGGCAGTAATTTTGATCGATGATTATGGGATTTGCCACATTCTTCATGATTAAATTCCTGAAATTGATGTTGGTGACAAAAGCTGTGCTAGGCCTTGCCCATGATTTTATTCTAACACCATTATCTGATCCCCTGAATTCTGAATTAATTAGTGTCACATTCATCACTCCATCTTCATTTAAATCCCTAGCCAGACTCCCAATGCTGCAACATTAACAAAAAAATTAAAATCGAAATAGCCAAATTATGCAAATTATGGTTACACGTAAAAAACAATGTATCGGTCAATATAATCTACGCGTAAATTGATTAAATTACAGACCTAACGCCATGTCCTGGGCCACATTTAACCTGTTCCATCCATAGATTTCTCGTTCCAGGACCAATTGATATGCAATCATCACCAGTTTGAATGTTACTGTTATAAATGGTGACACCAGTTGATATCTGGACATGAATGCCATCTGTGTTTGGACTTAGGGCTGGTGCTATTGTCTTCACATTTTGGACTCTGACATTATTGCAACTGTTTATTACAATGTGCATCAACTGGCTGTTTAGTGATGTTAACCCACTGATCAACCCATCATTCACATAATTGAATGTTAATGACTGCAAAAAAAATGTTAATATGCAAATAAACACGTCAGGCGGCAAATTAGAAAAAAAAGAAAGCAAAGGAGTAATTCAAATAATTCCATTCGTCTAATAGTAATTTCTATTGTGTCAAATATTTTCTTTGTTTCAAAATAATTGTCATGTTTAATGTATTATTTTTGTACAGTGATAGTAATATTTTTTTTTCTAACCATTACGAAAAATAGCGTTTTTATATTCTCTTTGTCAGAAAATTATTCTTTAGTTTAAATTTTTTTTTTTAGTACAATACAAATAAAAATTCAAATTGTCTATTTATTTTGGTAGGGATAAATACCATTGAATTGAAGCACTAAATCATTATAGAGGAGTAGTTTGCAGAGCCACATGGCCTTAGGGTTCATGCATGTGAGCACTTGACTTCTTAACTATTTAAAAATTGTTTTTAAAATCATAAGGAACTAACTTTTCAACATTTTTCTCATATCTTATGTATTTCTTTCTCTACGAAATTACTTTACCTATCATTTGGGGAAAAATAATTTACATTATTTGGAGGCATACCAGAAGAATAATTGCTTACAATCTTTCTTTTAGCTTAAATTTTGAAGTGTCTATGCATGAAAAAAAAAAAAAAAAAATCTCTTGGACCTAGAGTTTTGACCTCAGAGAAAATCCAAAAGATAAATAAATAAACCCAAACAAAATGTTATTTTCTAGAATAAAGGACTAAAAACTTCTTTCAAGAAAAGATATACGTACTCTTGCACCAGCGGGGCAATTGCCTCCTCTCAAGCGACACTTCCAGAATTCAGTTCCCTTAGCATCCAGCGTTCCACCGTAAATCGAAAGCTTGTTGACCAGAACAAACAACAACCAGTAACCGGAGTTTCCGAGGTCCCAATAATTATCAGGAGCTACAAGGGTTCCATCAATCACCACATTGATTCGGCTCCCGCACGGCCCTTTAAACACCGCCGGTTTGATAGTGAAATTCCCCGGTGGGACGTACATTGTGGTCGACGTTTGGACCAAGCTACACGCCGCAGACCAGGCCTTGAGGAATGCCGGAGTTGAGTCGGTTTTTCTGTCGGGCTTCGCACCGTAGCTCATCACGTTGAAGGTTGTTGCTTTTGTAGTTGTGAAGAAAAGGGTCGCAAAAGAAATGAAGATTGTGCATAGAACTTGAATTTTGTGAGCCATTTTTATCTTGTAAAATGTTGAATATGATCTGTGTAAGGTTTGATGGATTTCAGTGCTATTTATACATATTAGAACTTGGGGGCTTTATCATCACTTTAGCCAACTGATTGAAATGTTGTTGGTGAATTAATAATGATTGGTAATCATTAGGGGAATTTAGTCAAATCAAATGGTTTTTGTTTTTACATAGTTAATGATTGGTAATAAATAGGAGAGTTTGAAATTTGGACAATTATTTGTTTTTGAGGTTAATCATGACTTGGCCTACTTCAATCAATATGTACGCGGTGCGTAAGCTACCACAAGAAAAAATGAAAGAAAAGAAGATCATGTTCTATCATTGATTCATGAAATATTTACAACTATGAGGAGAAAAAAAATTTACTCTCTTCATTCTATTATTTTTACTTACAGCCTTTTTTAGAGGTGGACACAATGAATACGATGTGAGTAAACTGCAATATGATCGGTGTTGTAAGTTTGGGAGACAAAAGTACATAATCTGACACTTTGGAATAAAATGAGTGTAAATAATATTATGCGATTCTACTTATTATAGGTTACTTGTAGCTAGCTAGTATGGTATCGAAAATCAAGCTATTACATGATTTTGTATCAAAATGAAGACTACTTAATATGGAATGTTGGTTCATACGTTCCCTAATTTCTTTTTTGTTGAGATAAAATTATTCTAATTCCTTGAGGTTGTTTTAGTAGTCCTCTAAGGCTCTTATCGGCTCGAGGCATAATATACCTAATTATGATGCGTATTGACCAAAAAAGAGTACTAATCAAACTGTCGATAGGTGCTTTTTTGTGCCCAGTTGTAATTAACTTGTAAGAGAACATGCTAGCTAAACTCTAACAACTTTACATTATTGCTTAACTAACAACAACGAGTCGTTATACATTGATTTTGTGGTGTTTTATTGAGGAACAACAGCTTGATTTGCCGTCTAAAAATATTTGGGTATAAGAATTAATGACAACCAAAAGAATTTTTTGTTATTAATTTTTCAAATGGACGTACTCAATCTTTTTCGTTTTTTCCCTTCTGTACCAATAAAAATTGAAATGAAGCAAAGTCAATTTCCCAAGGGTTAACTCTTCTTTGTCAAGTACATTAGAACCTCCATAAATTAATCTTTTATAAATTTATAACATATTTTAACTAGTAATTTTTCCAATCCTAATTTCAAGACCAGTACAAAAAATGAAGAAAACCGATTAATGTAGAAGATATTAGTTCTTTTTCAAATTTGTTTATGTAAATATAAGTCCCAGAATTCCCTACATTAAAAGAAACCTAAAACTAAAAAAAAAAAAAAAGGTTGAATATTAACTAAGATTTTAACTTGGTTATTTTTTATGTTCACAGTATTTATCTTTTTGTTCCACTAAAAAACTTATAAAATATATAGGGTAGAAACCCACTTTTCTCTTTTGAAAATAATAAATTTTTGTGCTTTTTTTATAAAAGTGATTGGAAAAATCGTTAAATTAATAATTTATAGATAAATTCGTAATTTTTAATTTATTAATAAATTAATAAATTTTGAGGGATCAAGTGTATTAATGTACGGAGGTTTACATGGAATTTGAAGAAGAGGGGAGTATAATTATGTACTTCCTTTGTCCCAGAAAAATAATCAACATTAAATTTTCAAATTTATACTAAAATTAATATAAATTTCAAAACTCAAACTGAACCATTGTTTTGGAACAGAGGGAATAGTTAACAAGATCTGAATAACTCTCCTTCCGTTTTCAAAACTGTCGTACTTGTTATACTGAAAGTTGTCCGACACATAAGAAGTCATCTTGAAATGGAAGAAAAATTAACTAGCAATATTTCTCATAGGAAGTCAAATCGGATTTCCTTGTTGTATTTTTTACTCTCGATTCCAAAAGGGCTAAGGCTGTCCAACTGTATGAGAACATTCTGTTGAATTTGGTGATTCTCTTTACCTGCCGCAATCATGAAAATTATAAGCATAGAAAAAAAAAAAAAAAGATAGTCACTGAATAAATATTTTCCGCCATAATCATAAAATTAATTGTGACCTATATATATGATATCTTAATGAATGTTGAGGGGCAATTAGTCAAGTGCTTCCAACCAGCTGAATCTTCAATAATGTAGCTTCATACCCAACGAATATATATTTACATTCCCGTTTACATGTATAGAAATTTTTTTTTGAAACGGACATGTATAGAAATTAGAAGAACACGAATATAAGTTTTACTTTTTATTTTAGAGTAATTTTCCTAGCCCACTTTACTTTAAATAATTATCTCTTAAAGATACATTAAGGGAATTGGTTCATAGGGGATTAATTAATTTTAAAGAATTTTAAATGCTGAAAAAGAGAGGAAATTTTGTTTTTGTGAGAGGGGAGTAGTGAATATATATTTTTATTTATTTTACTATTAAATAGGGAAATAATAAAAAAGACATGGACGAAGAATGGTGGCCATGTGCATGCGTACGGTTCTTACGGCCAAGAATGTTAGCCCAATAATTCATTTTTGGAGTACGGTTTCAATTAACATTGGTCAACCCTTTAAGTTTTGGGTAAGGCTTTTTTTTAAAAAAAAAGAAAAGAAAGTAAATTACGATACAGAAAATAGTTAAATAATGACGAATATTTAGTCACTGTTATAAAATAAACCAAAACAATAAGAGATATGGAACTGTAGAGAAAGAACAAATGGAAAAAGAACAAGAGAGAGAAGAGAAAATTCATCTGTGTCTTATTCTGTGGAGAATGATATTCTTTTATAGACATCAAATAATGATAAGATCTACCTAATTAAATATTATCTCTAAATAGTTAATTTCTTGTATAACTCTTCTCACTTGTGTACATCCACATCCTTTTACCCTATTAAAGCAGAATACAGGATGTTGATGTGGCAACTTCTTATTAAAAAAATTTGGCTCCAAATGCACCATATTGCTTTAACCATTCTGCCACGTGTCATTCTTTTTAAAGAAAAAAAAAACTTCTTATCCGGAAAAACAAAAGCTAATTTACAAAAATATCTACACAATTTTAACTCATAACACTTATCATTTATCAATCAAATTAAGATAGGATTTAAATTTGTCCATAAACTTATCTTTTTTATTATTTCACATTCTTTTGTATGATTTCTGCATCGGTGTACTTTTTAATATTTTTTCTTCTTTTGCAGATGATTTTTTATTTTTATTTTTATTTTTGGCTAAGAAAGGGAAAAAAATAAATATGTAGCTATTTTATTTTTTTCAAATAAAAAATTTATTTATCTATTAACACAAAATTAAAGTAGAGGGGGCGCCCAGGCATCTGCTTGGGCCAAGCATCTAGTTAAATATTTATAACAGTCACTTGATTTTTGTTGGAGTAATAATAGAGTAATAGGGTGCCCTGTAACAGTGATAAGGGATTAATTCTAGAGTAGAAACTGCCGGAATTGATACTCACAAAAGGCCAGTGACTTCTAGGTGATAATAAATTCAGAACAGCAATTTTAGTGTTGATAGTTTTAGACAAATGTTACAGGGAAGTGGGGCTATCACATTTGCGGGCTTGCACGATGGTTTATTTCAAGGAATTAATTGCTTGGTTGAGTAGAAATGTAGAATTACAAAAGTTTTATTAGGTTTTTGATCATTCCCTGAACTCAAAAAATGAATTACTAGTTCCTCAAGAGTTGTATCATTGTTTATCGAATTTTTTTTTTTATTTATATACCATTATATGGTATCGTAGGCTTTTACATTTGTGTGGTCTACTGAAAGAAAGCGATACTACTACTAGGGGAGAGACTCCACACGTGCATGTCTCTGTTACGTACCCTCCTGGATTGCAAGCTGACCTCTGGAACTGACACAAACTAAATGGCCGGCATAAAACATGATACTGTATTGATCGGTCCACAGAAGGACTATATATACACATCATTTAGGGTTTACGGTGGAAGCCCTAGTACGTACAAAGGACGAAACTCACCCTATACAAATATATATACATGTATCGTAACACCTCCCCCTCAAGGTGGAGCATACGAGTTTCGAATGCCCAACTTGGACAAAAAATAAGAAAACTGCCGTTGACCCAAAGCTTTAGTGAAAATATCGGCGAGCTGTGACGCTGTGGGAACATAAGTAGGTGAAATGACCCCCTGAATAAACACATCACGCAAAAAATGACAATCAACCTCGATGTGCTTAGTACGCTCATGAAAAATCGGATTAGCAACAAGATGAAGGGCAGACTGACTATCACAATGAAGGCGCATAGACTGAGAATGTCAAACACCCAAGCTCAGTAACAAAGCCTTCAACCACTTCAACTCACAGACAGTATTAGCCATAGAACGATATTCAGCATCAGCAGACGAACGAGAGACAACTTGCTGTTTCTTAGTGCGCCAAGAAATAGGAGAATCACTAAGAGTAATAAACCAGCCAGTGAGAGAACGCCGAGACAGAGGACAACTAGCCCAATCAGAATCACACCAACCATAAAGCTGGAGGTCACAATCTGCACGAAGCAAAATACCCTGACCTGGATGCAGTTTCAAATAATGAACAACCCGGAGAGCAGCCTCCCAGTGAGCCTGCTGTGGAGCTTGCAGGAATTGAGCCAACATATGAACCGAGTAAGATATCAGGACGGGTGACAGCAAGATAGAGCAACCGACCAACCAGACGACGATATGGCTCAGGATCAGAGAGCGGAGAACCCTCAGCCAGAGGAAGATGATGATTCTGGTCCATAGGAAAAGAAACAGGTTTCGCACCCAAAAGACCAACTTCCGAGAGAATATCCAAAGCATATTTTCGTTGACATAAAAATATGCCAGACGCATTATGGGAAACCTCAATACCCAAGAAGTACTTAAGAGGGCCCAGATCCTTCATGTGAAAACAAGTACTCAAATACTATTTGAAAGCAGTAATAGCAACATGATCATTACCAGCCAAAACAAGATCATCAACATATACCAACAGACTAAGAGAAATACAACCACGATGAAGAGTAAACAAAGAGTAGTCAGCGGAAGA